TATTCAATGCGTCCCACCAACCAAGGTTTTTTTTATATATCGATACTAATATCTGCAAGGAATAAATATTTGTTCTGCACTTACGGCTTCCGAAGAATCATTCTAAATATAGCGTCAGGAGCTAGCTGCAGTAATATCGCTAATGTTTCCGCAAGTTCTAATTCAGCCTGTTGACGATCGTCAGCTGACGGAAAGCTTCCACTGTCGATCTGATCTTCCCTGAACCTATAGAAGAGGTATTTATCCTTGAACTGGTGCTCATTGGTCACTAAAAAATAAGAAAAAGCATCATTTGCAGTTTCATGTGCAACAGAATCATTTATATACCATAAATAAGCAAGCATATTTGAACCAAATTTTAAGGAACAGAAGGTAAGGCAAATTCCAAAAGAAAAAAATTCTTTTGAAAAACTATTAACTGGACATGGAACAGGTATCTAAAAAACCTAAAAATTGCATGTTTTGTAATCACTGATCTACAGCATTGGAGTCAGTATTTAAATATTAAAAAATTAGACTACCATGCCTTTCATTTCCACAAAACTGGTTTTTTTTCAATGTTGACGTTATGCACCACTTTCGGAACATGCATTAACAGCGCTAGCTTTCTATTAGCTAATTTAGTACTAACAGTCATGAATAACTGTTGAAATCTCACAGCAGTTTTGAAAATAGCATATTATCCATAAAATAGCATCATTTTATGTGACAACGGAACCTTCGAAAAACAACCTTAATACATAGTATTTAAATCCGTTATCCAATACAATTTGAATCTATAGCCAATTTGATTACAGAAAGAAAAAAATCACGAATCATTACGTCTATGAGAGGGGAAAATGAAAGCAAGTATACTTGACAAAAAAATTAATAACACATTGCGAGAGATTCGAAGTAAAAAAAAAATACGATGATTAACATTCAAAATGTTAATAATTATAATTCAACGGTGCTACAAACTATGTCAGACGCTAAAGTAAATGTGAAAGGAAAATCAATAAAGCCAACAAAAACAAAAGAAGACCATCAGAACATCTCAGAACAGGAAAGAAGTTTATATCGAATGAAGATAAATTTCTTTGGGATTCATCAATTGAAAAATAGCCATTTATATTGAAGCAAACTATGTGGAAATAAATACTTTTAGAAATTTAAAAAAAGTCTTCATGTAAAGCAGTGTGAAAATTTTATGTACACCTTACACAAGTACCTAGAGGACTTCTTGTTTAAAAGTCATCCAAAAGAAACCGTCTCTTTATAATGGATATCAAATTGTTCGTAAGATTGAACCAAGTTAATTGCATTCCATCGCTTTTAATTTTCTTCTCAGAAGCAGTTGCTTAAAAGCAAAAATTGGCACGTGAGCAATTAAGGTTGCAGACATAATTATGACAATTGACGAACGAATAATTAAGTTATCTGCATAAATTATTCTTCAAATAGATATAATGGATTGACAAAAGAGAAGAACAAAAGACATTCGACTTATCTTGCGTTTATTGTTGAGAGTTGTCCTTCAATTTATCAGTGAGTTGGATAGATATGAAAAGTTTGGCATGTTAAATTATTCCTATCAAATTAAGTAATTTACGAGTAGTAAGACTACTAAAATGTAGGGCATATTTGTCGTTTTAGGGATAATTGAATCAATATAAATCTATCAAAATAAATTTATTATCCAATTTTTATTAAGATTTTTCTTCATGTTAACTAAAAGAAATAGTGCATTTATGATGTTGAAAGTTGGAAAATTTTGGAGAAAATATTTTTTTTTCAGGTGATTAAACTTAACACTTATAAAATGTTTCCATGCCTGCCGTATAATACACATAAAATTCGTCGTCTCTTTTAAAAATCTAGTGAAATATTTAGAGATCCGATTTAAAGTGTAACATTTATATATTTATTCCTCCTACGTGGCACCGAAAACGANATATATATATATATATGGTCTTTCATATGAAAACTACCTGCACATGCGCTATTTGGATAACCGTTTGCTGATCTTCACATAACCACTCTTAGAATTACCAGAGCTGCAATGCCTCAGGGGATAAAGCGTTCGCCTTCCAATGAGGTGAACCGGGTTCGAATTCCACATTCTGTTTGCACCAACCAAAGTGCTGACGTGAAATATCCTCAGTGGTAGACGGATCATGGATTAGAGTCCCCTTGCCGTGAGGCGAATCGTGGGAGGTTCTCATGGTCTTCCTCTACATGTAACGCAAATGCGGGTTAGCTCCATCAAAAAGTCCTCCACGAAGGCAAATTTCTCTCTATAATCGATCCAGGAAGTTTCCTTGTCTTCTGGATTGGGTTCAAAATGACATGACTACGTATTTGAGCATTAGTAGTCGTAAACCCATAAAATTGGGTTTGCAGATCAAAGACAGTTATAAAAGAAAAAGAAAAAAAGTTATATGGCTAGAGAGGTGTGTGAGGAAGTAGTGCAGCACACAGTGCAAAACATTGGAATGAGTTTTCTATCTTATCTCACAGCAGAAATAATAATAATTTCAATACTTCGGCTGCTTACCATACTGAAATTTCCAGAACTCATACTTACGGCGGTTTGCGTGATTTAATTGCAGCAGGGCAGATTTAAAATTATTATTAATACTCAACACAAGGAAAACTTTTTCAATATCACCGACATCTTTTGAAAAGAGTTAAAATTTGAAATCAAAGTGCTTTCGTGAGGGCAATAGTTAGTTCTTATATAAAAGTTAAAAATTGTCTCTAATCGTGCTGAACATTTAATAAAAAAATTGGTTTGGTAATGTTATTGAAAATTATCAGGCTCACAAATTACAATTTCCTAAATAGAAACATGAAGGAGTTAGACAGAAACGAGACAACATTTTTGTATAAAAGGTGGAAAATGAGAAGGAAAGGAGAAAACAGACAAGTGAAAGTGAGTATTAGAAACATCAAGCATTTAAAAAATTTAATTAAAGTGGAACACCCTGTGCGTCTAGATTGCAAATAGAAAAAAAATAAACTTTGATGAGTAACGTTTTGGGGTTATTTCCTTTCTGCGGAAAAAAAATCGCTGACATGAAAAAAAAGCGGAATAAAAATAAGAAATACTACACAAGAACATATTTTTTTGGTCTTTTGGTAATTTGGAATTTTTATAATTTTTTTTTTATATATATAATTGAATTTTATATATATAATTGAATATTCTTAATTTCTACTTGAATGAAGTAAATATGTAAAATTAAAAATTAAATTAAAACGAAAATAAAATACTTGCAATTGCAATAATTTTACAATCACATTGGTATTTTGCATTTCTTATTACCATAATTTTAAATGTTGTGTCAAATATTTTCTATCAAAATTGAGTACGGGAGGGAAAAAAAAATAAAAACCATTAAAAACCCAGATTTGCGTTGCACTGTGAGAAAAATCACGAAAATATTGCCTGCTAGCGAATATAGTATCTTTCTCATCACCATTTTTTTAAAGAAATGAGATTGCTATGAATTACTTACCGTGGGAAATAACACCTTCTTCCATGAGTGCTTGCCACATACCGACAGCTTGACTTCGCGAGTGGATTCGAACATAAGAACCTCCTTGCTGCATCAACCAGTCCACCATTTCTGAACCAACAAGACACTTTCTAAATGTTCGAACGTGGTATTTTCGATCACGAATTAAGTGGGGGCTTTGGCTCAAAATTAGAGTTCTTAATACCCAGCCGGCACGTGATAGAGTCGACGATGGTTCCTAGAGAGAAAAAAATATCAGTAAAAAACAGCAACATAATCGATGACAACAGCTAAATATAGGATCACCAAAATGTATGGAAATAGTAAAACACCTCGCGATATATACATCAGGTCAAAACTCTGAAACTACGAGTATGAAACATTTTCTAGAGGTACAATCAATGATACCAAACTCGACTTCCTAATCTGTCCCCCCCCCTCCTTGGAGCATCTGCAAAGTTCTAAACAAGAACCCTTGTTTATTATTGCAGATTTGGATTTTTCAGCAGAAAAAAAAGTCCTTATCTTCTAGTGCTAGGGTTACACCAACGGCTAGCTTATGGGAAGGTGTCAAGTTAGGAGATATTTGAAACGTTTTTCAAAAATATCAAAATAGTCCATTTTTGTTTATCTTTATTAATTTTAAATCTGCTATGTATTTCTCGAGATCTCTGTGTTTTCTACAATTTTTCATTTACAATTATATTTTACAATTTACTTGCTATCTTCATTTTGCGATTACAGCGTCACCTATGAACTAAAATGCAAAAACCCGCTTATCAATACTGGCATTCCAGTTAAGATTTAGAAGAGTTGCAAAATAAATGTTGAAGACAGATATTTTAAAGAATTGCATAGGTATAACATTTACAAGAGGTTCAATTCATTAATTATAAATTGTTATAAACTCAAAGATTAATAAATAAAATTGACAAAATCACAATCGCAGTTAAAAATCACCACACATTTTATTAATAAAAATTATAAAAGAAACTTATGAATAAGAAGTAATTAACACAATTATGCCCACAAAAGTTTCGGCTAAACTATTTAAACATATTTCAATGCCTTAAGTAAAAAAATAAGAAAGCATACTTGAAATTTATTAAAAAAATAACTAAATAATTAAAATATATATACATAAAATTTGTCATTTACGTCAATTTATTTACACATAACCAACACAAAAATTATTGAAGAGCGTATAAAAAAATTTAAATCTAATTTTAGTAATTATATCGAATTAATTATTTCTATTTCGTTAACCATATATAAATTAAAATCTTATTTTAATTAATTGTATCGATATTCTTACACGGATAACACGTTTTTTTTAAATTCATAAACAATTTATCGTTTTAAATGTTTAAACTTCAATTCTACTACAAAATAAACATATATCTGCTTTAATTTTGCAATCAGTAAACACTAATTACTTTTATAAATAAACAAAACTAGAGTATTAAGTCACTTATGAACAAAATAACATTTAAAATTCCCTTTAAATTACAGTGAATAATATAACATCAACTTACTCTTTCTCTGAAAAGATTATAGAGTCGTTTCAACTGCCAAACAACAGCAACTTAATTAAACAAAGCACATTGTTACCAAACGCATTGCTCAAGTCTTAATTATACAATGGAATTTTAACAGCAAACAAGCACATTTACCTCACAGCAAATCCCACTTTGGATAGATAATGTGACATAATTACTATTTTTAACTAAAACCCATACAATAGATCGAACATCTTTCAAAGCGATGTGCCTTATTTATGCTTTCTCCAACGCCACGAACATGGGTAATGATGATTGGCGTCGTCTAACTGAAGTTACATCTCCAATTTAAATTCCATTATTATTTTTTTTAGTTGGAATGGGGTTAATTAGACATAAAAAGAAGCTGAAGCTCATAGAACAATGGTGATGATACCTACTTGTGTGATAGGAAGAGCTGGATTTGGTCCGTCAGGGGTGAGTGATTCTTTCTTCCCCAAGGGGGTGATGGAACGGATGTTCCCATTGGATGCCTTGCATTCATCTTGTCGCGGGAGTCCTTGAGATACATAAAAAAAAGTGATTGTGAAAAATGTTGTTTGGACACACAGGTAGGAAAGATCATGGGTCAGATAATGGTCAACTGGAAGAGGATATGTGTGAAATGTGTTTCAAACTTTCTATTGTAGGAGGGGAAAAAATGTTATTTAACTTTTATTGCACGCATTTGAGTGTGTTACCGGGAGGGAAATATTGTTTAATGTATCAAAAGTATACGGTGTGCAAATATGCGAACTCGTAATGAAAGTAAAGCATGAGTTGAGTTAGTTTTTAAAGGCTTTTCCGAATGACAAATAAAACGGAACATTTTTTTTTTCTTTCCATACCTTGATATTTCATGCTTCATATCCCATAGAAGCATCCTGTTTTGCGTAATACATCAATTATGATCCATATAAATATCCTGATTATTTATATTACATGTAAATTATATTTTACGCGTGTTCGATGCAAACATCTTGATACCTTGATTCTGCTTTAAATATAGAGGCTTACAGGCAGTCTTTTCTTATATTTTAAATTACTTATGGGCCATTATACAAACAATAATTATGTTCCCATTGCATACCTTGCATTTATTTTGTCGCGAAAATTTGTTTTTGAAAAACATAAAAAATGATCCTTAAATTGTCATTTGCACAGGTAGTTACGAAAAATTATGGATCAGACTGGAAGTATCTGGAAGAGATATGTGTGAAATATGTTTCACCCCTTGTACAATAGGGGAAAATAAATGTTATTAATTAAGAGTGATTAAAGCACAAAAAATGCTGAAAGCAACGAATTAATTTACACCCAAAATTAAGAGACTTTCTACCAATACTGAATTCAAAAAAACTTGTCTCGATGAGTGTATAATAGATCACCACTTGGCCACAACGCTCTCCTTATTTATGAGCAACATGGATTCATTTCTTTGAGGTACACAAAACATGTGAATTTTGAAATGGATCTGGTTTCAATAATCATCTGCGCTGCTACGGATGTATAACAAAAACCAGGTGTATTTTAGCGAGTTCGCCAATCCATGGACCGAAGGTGCCATGCATTTATCTCTAGCAAAGTAGGAACTTCGAACATCTGTTGTGATCTTTTCACATATCATCTACCATATCTCATGTAATATCTTTGACCAATAAATATTTCATATGATCTCAGTGTTTTTTCTTTGTATCATGTATCTTGTTGAAAAGGCTAAGACTTAGTTTTGATTTCTTTTGCCACATACAGATATCCTGATTTATCATATTTTACATTAATTGTAGACTTTATAAACAAAATAGATGTTCCCATTGAATACTTCCTGTCATACTATTTTCCCATGATGTTTCAGAAATTGGGTGTCAATGCAATTCTGAATACTTGTGATGTCCCCTATCTCCCCTTAAAGTTTGTCCCTGGGGACCCTGTAAATATCCTAATTATTTATAATGTAAGTGAAATATATATCACATAAGTTAGATGCAAAAATCTTGATACCTCTTATTTTTTTTATTAAATATGGAGCATACGTGAAGCAGCTCGAACCGCAGCGCTCATCCAGTATGTAGGTAGGGACGAGTAACATCTCATTTGCATAGAAGAGTGATCTTCCTGACAGAGCTGAAGATCTGGTAAATTCTCGAATTTTCGATTTCCTTGGATGACAGTCAGCTCACATCATGTTTTCCTGAAGAGGTACGCATGTCTGGGAGACCATCTACAGATATTTCAGAAGAGCACTAACTGTGCAATTTGCTCTTCTTGCTATATCATTTTCTTGATTTCTACTTTATGATGTGTTTTAAAAATGTTATAACTTCAAGGGGTTTAGGGATAAATTTTTCATGTCAAATGCCTTTGAGATTAGATAGATTTTAAAATAATTAGATTTAATAATGTGCAGCGGCTTCCATCTTATGGCTTATGCAAACTTCTGAATTAACCATTTTGAAGTCGGCGCATAGGTAGGCTCTGGTAGCAAAGTTTTTTTTAATACCTTTAAAAGAAATGGCTAAGACTTAGTTCTGATTCCTTTTGTCACATACAGACATCCTGATTTATCCTATTTTACATTAATTGTAGACTTTATAAACGGAATAGATGTTCCCATTGAATACTTTGCAGTCCTTAATACATAAAAAAAGCTTTTTGAAAATGTTATTTGGACACAGACATCCTAATTGATTTCTTAGTTCCTAATTAATTATGGTCCACATATTCAACGTCACAGCAGTCTTTGAGGTGCATGATGCAGTTATTATCAGAATACTGTTAAGATACATAGGTATGAAAGACCATGGATCAGATTATGATAATTGGAGTGAATTGGAAAATATATTTCTTTCTTTCTACTGTATTAGAGAATAAAAGCTATTAAAAGTTCATAACGTGTGTTATAAATGAGAAAAATCGCTATACCATCATACCAATTATTGGTGACGGAGCTTACTTCTTCCCAGTTATAGCATCATATAAATTATACGATACTCAAGTTAAGGCTCAAAAGTTGCAAGAGTAAGTAAAACAGTGAGTTTTCCATCTTATCTCACGACAAAGAAGGGAATAATTTCAATACTTCTGCTGCCTACTATGCTGAAATATCCACTTCGTTTGTTTGTGGGATTTGTTAGTTGCCAGCCAGATTTTAAATCAATATTATAATTCAATGCATTAAGAATTTTGACAATATCGCGGACGTATGCTAATAAGAATCAAAATTGAAATCAAAGAACTTCTGGGCGTACAACAACTAGACGATAAAAACATTAAGTTAATATATTGCTTAAAACTAATTAAGGTGTTAGGATTGGTGGAGGGGTTGAACACTTAATTAAAGAATTGGAATATTTAAATGTAGTTATGCAGTGAATCCGGCTACATTAAATTGTATACTATGTTGTACAAGCTAATTTTAAAAGGCGACCAAGTTGGTTGCCGAAGGGGGCTAGTTTATTCACATTCTATTTTAATTATTCATATTCTACTCAAATGTCCTGNAGCATCAAACATTACTATTGACAAGACAAATCTCTTTATTTATTTATCCAAGTTATGAATTATTTAAGATTTATTCGTTTAAGTTTCTGTTTAAGTTTCCATAATTTAATTTTGTTGCTGTAAATGAACTAAAAATAAATTAATCAGTACTTTATTCAGGAGCAGAACTTTATTTAAACAATCTAGAAATTTCACGTAATTTACTAAAATTTAAATCTTCACATGCAGCTAAAGAACATATTTTGTCTATGTTAAGGTGTCACAAAATTAAAATAAATCAAAAAAAAAAAATTTGAATTTAAATAATTTCTAAAAAAAAACAGAAGAAGAGAAATTAACAAACCTGTTAATGATCTCAATGTACTTATTGGTGAAACGATGTCTTCCATCAAATGCTTGTTCCTCTAAAATAAAGATAAAAAATATTATAATTTTTCAATTAGCAATTGATAAAAAGGATTTTGAGTTAAATCAATCATGAAAAATAGGTGTAAATAAATATTATATTATTAATAATTTATAAAATAGATACCATAATAATTATTAATGCAATATATAATTATAAATATTAATAATTATAATATTAATAGTTTTTAATAAGTTCAAAGTTCTGTCATTACTAAATAGAAGAATAAATCTCAACGATGTGGAATAAAAAGAAAAGGTTTTGTATTAAATCAATGATGTTAAAAATGATATAAATAGTATATATTTGTGTATTGTATCACTATAATTAATAAGTTAGAAAATTCATTGGAAAAGAAGGAATGGTAAAATAGAATATGGATTGAATCAATCAAGTAAAAGTCTTATAAATGCTGAATTATCGCATCGGGTTCTTATCCTGCTCCAAAAATAGAACTGAAACGAAGAACGATATCAGTTCACGCTTATTGATATTTAATATTATATTTTATTTTTATAACCGTCATTGAACAGCCGACCCCCAATTTACAGGTCGGTTGTTCCAATTTCTGAGTCGGATTTCTAATGTTCAACTCCATAGCCTTGTATTTTTGAACCCAATTCAGAAGACAGGGAACTCCTAGGTCAAGAATTGGGAAAAATTTGCCTTTAGTGAGGACTTTTTGATGGAACTAACCCGCATTTAAATTACATGGAGAGGAAGCACACGAGAACCTCTCCCGGTTAGCCTGACGGTAAAGGGACTCTAACCCATGATCCGTCTACCACTGAGGATATTTCACAGAGGCCAATTTGCTCAGGTCTGCACTCTGGTGCGGAATTCGTATCAACCAGTCATGCCTGCGATTCGAACAAGTGTGTTCATTGGAAAGTGAACGCTCTATCACCTGAACCATCCCGGCTCTTGATATTTAATTGCCAAAATTCATATTTTGTCTATATATCTGAATTTTTAGTTCTTGATAGGCATCATTTTATTATGAAACTATTTTTTTTAAACTTATTTTTATGTTTTCTTAAATTGTTAAATTTTACAAATATTATTCAAATGTAGTGTAAAAGCAAACGAAACATTAAATCCAAAGCTATATGTCCATGGGAAAAATTTTGAAAACATTTCTTTAGCATTAACAGGTTAAGCAAATATCTAAGACGATGCAGAAATGACTCCTTAAATAAAATGTTTCAAAAAATAAATAAATACTATGGATTTCTTAACTGTACTCTGAGAATCTATGAAGTGTTTTGGGGAATAAATTGATAATCACACAAAGTAACAATATTTTGCATTGAAATTTTGCTAATTATTCTTTTTAAATAAGTAGTTTTTAAGTTAGTGAAATTTACAGTAAGTAACAAAATACACAAAACCATCTTGTTGCTGACATGGAAATCTTGAAGTTCTTCGACAAACAAATTTCTTAAAAATGTTTATAATACCGAACGAAGTTTTTCATACGTATATAAATTTAAAAATTAGTTTCGAAGGATTATTTATTAAATTCCAAAAACGAAAATCTTCTAATATTAGTCCCATTAAAGCAAATATCAAATATGATCAGCGAAGAAAATATAATTACAGTTTCCAATTTAATTTTAAAAAGAATAACTCCTGTTAAAATTATAACTATTTCGAAATTTAAAAAAAAAAATAAATTCGATCACTAGAAGAAAACATTAATAAACATACAAAAATGTTTCGAAGCAAAGGTAAAATGAAGCTATCAAAGCTTATAAACAAAAGTTATTGATATAAATATATGTGAAAAAAAAAAAGAACTTTAATGCAAGATGAAATACTGATTTACTAATTTCGAAAACTTTTTATTAGAAAATTGATTCTATGTTACTAAATTCCAAATATTTAAAAATCGTTATACAATGAGATCTTTCTAGATTTTCATATTAACTACTGACTTTAATTAAAATATTTCTACACGAAATGTAAATATATATATAAAAAAATCATAGTACAATTTTAAAAAGGTCAATTTTTGAATATCTTAACAAAATTTTACTTACTATTTTATTTCTAGCGATTCTCACGTAAGTTTTCAGCATGGTTACGCATTTAATTAAAACATTTAATCCAATCAATTTAGCATTCACATCACAAAAACCAGATTATTGTTTTATTAAATCATCACTAAAATTGTTCCGCTGGTAATGTATCCAAGCGGCGTTTGTTAAAAAAAAATGATCTTTTAAAAATAACAAAACATTCCAAAACAGCCCAGCATTCGCAACATTTTCTTCCACTTCGAAAAACAATTTTATTCTTCTCAAAAGTAACAAATCATCCACAAACTAAAAATAAACTCGAATAACACACGCGGCAAAGAAAAACACTATAAAATGAAACCCGAAAACCGAATTCTAAGCGCGATTTGTTCCATAATAAATCTTAAAAAACAGCTCTGGTCAAGAGTGATCACATGCTTATTACGTCATCCCGCCATTGGTCATACCCCATCCAATCAACACCGAGGAATCGTGCAGGAAATTGAGGAGTAAGAAACAAGGGTAAATTAATCGTAAGTGTCGTTGTCGAAAATGACAAGATTTCGAATAGAACGACGCGGATCTAGGAGAAAATTTTTCTTTTATTAACTGTTCTATTACATTAAAAATGTTCTCTGAGAATTCGAAAGAGTTAAAAGGAAGCCAAGATAATTCTTTTGAAGGCTGATTCTGAAGCTATTGAAGCATGTCGGATGAGGCCATACAAAAGGATGAAGATCTTGAGACAAATTTAAAACTTTCGTAAATATCTCTTTGACCTAAATCCTTTTGCACAATGCGTTTAAAATATTATTAGTACAATTGATAAAGCATCAAACATTACTATTGACTTTTTTTAAGCGCTATAAAAAGTTGATTTTAAAACTATGCCGTATGAATAATTAGATTTAACGGGATTCACAGATTAAGAATCAAATTGGAATTTATTTTTATTCAATGTTTTGTAAAAAAGAATAACATGTACTTGATATAACAGCGAAAACTAATTAACTGATGCCCTTAATGTTAATACTTAACTAAAGATTTTTTTTTTAATGTATTTTAAGAAAAATAGTAAAGATTATTTATTTATTTATACAAAAGTCACTAGCAGTAAAACTTTTTGCCTTGTTATTAAAACAATATCATTATTTATTGCTGACAATCATGATCCATTTGACGAAAAAAAAAAATTTTTTTTTAAATATCACATTCAATTAAAAATGTAAGAAAATAGTTCTAAAATAATGAAGATTAACAGGAAGTTGCGTAAGAAAATTCTGAGCATGTTCAAATAATGCAAATTTAAAGCTACTGTTATTTTGAAATAGAAAATAAAAACCGTTAAAGTTGAAAATAAAACACACTTTTTAGTACTAGATTGCATTAATGAGTGTGTAATATCTGTTTTCAATAATTAATTTTTCTTCACTCGTTTATGAAATATGATAATTTGTGTTTCATACGGAAAGCGGCTAATAAGCAATAGCTCAGTTAAACATCATATATCAGTTATTAAGTATATACTACTAGGGTACTAAGCCCCCTGTTCGCTGCCGCTAACCATCTCCGATATTTGCTTCGCAATAATTGTGGCGATGCAAGCAGTTTTTTTCAACGAAAGTTGAAATTATTCACTTCAAATATGCGTATTATAAAGAATTCTGCGTACTTATGCTTGTGCTCTTACTCCCCACGTCCAACATTCATTTCTTTAAATTATTTATTTTGAGACAAATTTTATTGATAAATAGTATGAAAAATCTCGTATGATTCTATTTCCCTTATGATTGTATTAAGATCTATTAGAGAACAAAAGGAGTTTTGCTTTGTAAGCATTTTGATTGCTTACATCCGTAATTTTACATTATAGCAAATATAGAACCGCCCCTGCAAAATTGGTAGCATTGCCCATAAAATAAAAAAATTGCTGATTTATATCTCTTTTAAAAGAACGAATACAGTTCATAAAATTACTAAAGAATCATCTTAGTCAAAGAATAGACACCGTTCGTAAAATGAAATTCGAGACAATAATCACCACAATTTCGAGACCAACTGCATAGCGCGTTATCATTACGCATAGGCCGCCTATACTTCCCTCACAAGCTGGTACCCATCGATTTGTTGAGGCGTGAGTTTCGAGTGGCCTCTGAGAATCGAACCCCAATCCTTCGCACTGACAACTCAGTGTCTTTGACAGCTGAGTCATCGCAAACTTTCAATTCTTAAAAGAATAAGAGGCAGGAAATGAAAAAAAGAAGTAAATAAGCTTTCATATTTTTTGAGCACTACTTTACATAATAATATTATCAACTTTTATTTGGTTAATCCTGAAAATAACTAGCGAAAACATTCTTAAACTGTACAAGAAAAAAAGCAAAGTGCTTTTGCGTCTTTTTTTTCTTTCAAAAATCTCAGGTTTAAAATCATGAAAGCTAATCTCAATTACAAATGCTAATAATATAATGGTGAGGCTAACACTGGCTGAATATGTAACAGATAAAAGTTAGGCGAGCAACAGTTTAGAAATATTATACTGTGTTTTAACATGCATGATGGTAATTTTATTTTGTTTACAGAGAATTTCATTCTAATTTGGTCTTTAAATATAGTCAATCAAAATAAAATTTTTTAAATGCTTTGCCTTTCTGCACACGTAATTCTAAAAGAAAAAGAAAACTTTGACTTATATGTTTAAAAATATGCGATGGAACTTTTTGTGTACCATACCAAAATGCTTAGCTCGTTTTTCAGTCGGTGATAGGTTATGATTAATATTCGTCATCTTGATTTCAACAGGTTTCACGATTGTTGCAGCATGGTACCGTAGTATGGTCAAAATATGTTTTGTAAGCAGCATCCTGAAGTTTCTAAACTCATTTTTATAAAACTCGCGAACATACCATGTAAAACGTTCTTCTTATAGGCTCCTCAGTTACAGTTAAAAATGAATGTTAAATTTCAAATTTTAAAA